TCTATGATTTAGCATTAAAAAAAATGATAAATTCCTCATGTTGACCAGACTGTGGAAAACAAAACTAGGAGTAAATATAAAATTTCGCTATAATTTTAGAAAAACCCTTGGCCATATTTAAACACATAAAATTTTGTTTCATAATCTTAAACTCAATAATCCTATCTCCCTTAATTTTATTCTGTGGAAAATATCAACTGCAAAAAACGCAATGTTTATAAATATGGTCATGCTAATGCTATCTGTTGTTGCATTATCCATAATTAAGAAAAATATTAACAGGGCTGTTTATACCTGTTTAAGTGAATGTGATAACAATTACACTACAAAAATCATTGACTAATGCAATATAAAAAACTGGAAAAGTAACGTGTACACAGTAGGCATTTTATAAATACGTGTTGAATAAATAAATAAATAATTTTTTCTGCAAATCGTTATTTGTAATCCAAGCTGAATGCTATGTATCCTTTTAAAAATAGCAAATATATATCCACATAACATGAGAGAAATTTTTGTAATACAAAGTTACCAAATTTATCATTATATGATTATTACCAAAAATACTTTAAAATGTTATAAAATATGAAAAGAGAACTCAGAAATTACAAAACAATATTATGAGCTTACATTTATTTCTGGGTACTTACAAAGTTGGTGCAAATATTTTAAAACCCATTCTAATGGACTAGGCCACCTTACGAGGTGTGCAGGTACTGTTAGATTATTTTAGGATATTTTAGTAGATATTTCTATGATTGTTAGGGTTCATAATGTATGTTCAAAATAGCTGTTCAAAATCGAATTCTGACACATAGGCTCAAATTTCTAACATAAAGATAAACACAATGATTTCTAGTCTTCGAGGAGGCTCAACATTAGAGATTCTATTTTTTTTTTTTTTTTAATAAAGAAGGGTTAAATGTCCCTGTTTCTCATTCAGATATATATGATTTGGCTAGTGCAGTAGTTCTCTAACTGTGGCCTTTAGACTATGCAGTATCAGCAGCACCTGGGAGCTTGTTAGGTATTCAGATTCATGTGTACCATCCCAGACCTACCAAATCAGAATTTCTGTGTGTGGGGCTTAGATCCCTGTGTTTTAACAAGCTCTCTCAGTGATTCATGTCTGCTGAAGTTTGAGAACTACTGAGATAGGGACAACAAAAACCCAGGGCTTACTAAAATACTCCTCCTCTGTATGAAATTTTCAAAGGCTCTTTTTTAAAATTTATTTTAACTTCTCCATATACATTGTAGTTGATTTTCGTGACCCTATACCCATTCCTCTTCCCCTCTCCTTCTCTCCCCCCCCCCACAACATTGTATCTGTTCACTTGTCTTAACGAGTTCAAGGAATTGTTGTGATTGTTGTGTCTTCTCCCCCCCACACACACTCTTTATTTGTTTGTGTGTTTATTTATTGATTTATTTTTAGCTCTCACAAATAAGTGAGAACATGTGGTATTTCTCTTTCATTGCCTGACTTGTTTCACTTAATATAATTTCTCTAAGTCCATCCATGTTGTTGCAAATGGTAGTATTTCATTCTTTTTCATACCAGAGTAGAATTCCATTGTGTAGATACACCACAGTTTCCTTATCCACTCATCTGATGATGGACAGTTGGGCTGGTTCCAACTCTCAGCTATTGTAAATAGTGCTGCAGTAAACATGGGAGTACAGGTATCCCATTGGCATGACAAAGGCTCCAACTCCCGGGTGTCAGAGGAGTAGCAAAATGAAATATTTGAGGAGTAGCAAAATGAAATATTTTTATCATCCAGTTCGGGCTTCTGTGAAAGAAGGTGGGGAAAAAAATCACTTGGGTTCTCAAGGGATACAATGTTTTTTAAATATCTTTCATTATAGGTGAGATAGATCAGAAGTTAATGGTCGGCTTTGATAGCTACCCACACACCAACTACACCTGTGGTGAGTTTTCCAATCTTGAATAAGAAAAGAGGAAAACATCTTATGGAAACTGACAGAACCTTATAAACATCAAATTGACTTTGGAAAAGCAGAACTATTAATTCTAATGAGGAAGGAAGCTTACTTCCCTAAAAATGAGCAGATTAATAAAATCCATATATTTAATTCATGTAAATGTATTACAATACTGAACCATTTAAGGAAAACCAGTAAATTTGGAAAGGTTAATATATTATGTGTTTATACAAATATTTGGTAAAGCAACCACATAACACTTCTTCAAATAATCTCTGATACGAATGTGGGAAAAAGACTTGACTGGATATATGTTCAGTGGCATTGTGACTTTTTCCCCAATGTTCCTTCATGACTTCAATTAATATTTATAATTTTAGGTGTAAGGCAGAAGTATGAATTGCAAAGGCAAAGGGTCTAGGACTTGTCTCAATTCTATTCAGTTCTCTGAGCCTTATTTTTTTCCTACAAAATTGGAAATCAAAATGCTTAACTCCAAAAAGATAAAAATACCTGTGTAGATTAAATGAGATCTATTTTATGATAGACTCTAGCATGATACCCTATCTGTCTTGTAAAAATGGATGCTAAAAATTATTTAGTTTTTCATTTCCTAGTTTGTTCATAATTATTTGTGCAAATCTGGCAGATCAAAATATTTAATGTACCAAATCAAAATTGTGTATAAATAATAATGGTGTTTATCATTTTATCAGTTCAAGGAAATGGGAAACAAAAAAAAAGACATGGAAAAAGAAAAATTATGTTGGAAGTATAGCCTTGATCTCCAATTTTTTTCTGCTTTCTATTATGTGATGTGAAATTTTGATGGAAATGGATAAAGTCTGGAATATTCTGGATAGATTAATCTTGTGATTCATATTCAGAGATAAGAGAAAGAGGCTTCATATTTGACAGCCAAAACAAAAATTTAGAAATTTTAATTTAATACTCCTTTTTATTGCAAATCTAAAACCAGTGACCCCTGCCAGACAGCAGGGTATAGAAATGGGGAGATCAGATGTCATGTTTGTTCTTTTTTTTATTATTGGTTATAAATATTCATGAGATACAAAGCTGATTGTCACCCCTTGTGCCCATGATATGAGGACCAGATTCATACTGGCAGCATACGCATTATCACAAATTGCATTTCTCAGATGTCATGTTTGTTCTTTTTTTTATTATTGGTTATAAATATTCATGAGATACAAAGCTGATTGTCACCCCTCGTGCCCATGATATGAGGACCAGATTCATACTGGCAGCATACGCATTATCACAAATTGCATTTGTACCCTGTGTCCCCCACCCAATTATCCCCAACCTCCTCCCCTCTCCCCTTTTCCCCTCAACTCCACTTTGTAGCCCAAGGAATGTTCCCTCCCTCTGCAAGTCCAATGCACCACTGTGGTCTTTCTTTCCTTCCTTCTTTCTCTCTTAGCTCCCACATATGAGTGAGCACATGCCATATTCATCCCTCTGTGCTTTGCTTATTTCACTCAACGTAAGTTTCTCCAGGCTGATCCATGTTGCAAATGGGAGAATTTCATTCTTTTTTATGGCAGAGTGGTATTCCATGGTGTATATATACCACAGTTTCCTTATCCAATCATCCATCAATGGACATTTAGGTTGATTCCATGTCATGTTTATTCTTTATACAGAAGAGGAAAACTGAGGGAGGCGGCATAAGTCTGGACTGTCAGCTGGAGAGACTGGCATTAAACAGCTGAAAAATTAAATGAATGAGAGTGGTTATTCAATTTGGCTAACAAAAGCCTCTTTTAAATTGATAGGGAAGAGATGGGGTGTTGACCTAGAATTCTCCCAGATATAATTTCTGAGAAGATGAATTATTGAGACACAAAAATATATGGTTATATCTCACACTGTTTAAAATAAAGCCCAAAGAGACTGTCTGGTACAGCAGTTTTTCCAGTTCTTTCCTAGAACTCATGGGTAGATGAGAACGGTGCAGTAACATGAAGAACTCAATACTAATGACTCATCAGCCCTCATATACTGATTTGTGTCTTAGTAGGGAAAGAACACTTGATTATTTATATCCCACAAAGTTTGAAACAGACCATGAACTAAAACATAATTTCTTCCTTCTCTGAATTGCAGCCTACTTCATACCTATTTAGAGTCTCTTTCCGAAGTTGTATATCAGGTATTTGCATACTTTCCTTCCACATTTAAAACCACCTCAGAGCAATCACTGTCTCTTCTTTGCAAATGCCTTTGCTTATAGTAAATGTTCAATAACTATTTGATAACTTTAGCTGAAGACAAATGATTAAGAAGAAGTTTAAAAAAAAAAGAAGTTTCAAAGAGAAACTTGTTAGATACCAGAAGATACTCCGTACAATCAGATTAGACTCAATCTGTAAGTATTTCCTTCACATACGTGTTTTTGCTCTTGATTTCAAGAACATGTCGATTAAACAAAATGTTAATTGGAAAAGCAATAACTCTGCTAATTTGGCCCTTGGCTCCACAATAACAGGACCTCCCCCTATGATGACCATATTGTTTGCTAGGAAGGAAACTCACTCAGTCCACAGCTAAACCCAAGTTTCAATTCCTAATACAATATTTGCTCTGAAGAGCCATTCCATCTGCTAAAATAGGGCAATGCACCACACAAATGCAACACAGTTTTCAGAAACCTCTAATCAAGAGCCCATCACTGCATTTCTGTTGATGACTTTAAAGCACAGCAATGGATTCCATCTGTGGAAATGGAATAGTGTTTTGTCGTGAGTCAAATATAACCATTTTTCCTCAATGGGACCAGTGACTTTTATACATTTGCACTCACCTGTAACTACTGATTTAGTAATGTACACTGTAGGCTACATGTATCAAAACAACATAACTTCACCTTTGGATTCCCAGCATCTAGCTGATAAATAGCAGGTACTTAAACATTAATTGTTGAAATAAACAACGATGCATAAGTGAATAATTTATTTTCATGTCTCTCTACTGTATTTCCCACATCCTTTTATCTTTCAGCTGCCACCACAATTTGAATCTTCAAGATGGTAATGACTAATGCAACTGTAATGAGTGGATTCTTCCTCATGGGGTTTTCTGACAACCGTGAGCTGCAGATCTTGCATGCTTTGCTTTTCTTGGTGATGTACCTATTGGCCTTGGCAGGAAACCTCATCATTATCATCATCACAACGCTGGACCAGCATCTCCAATCCCCAATGTATTACTTCTTGAAGCACCTTTCCCTGCTGGATGTCTCCTTCATTTCTGTCACAGTCCCCGAGTCCATTGCCAGCTCACTGATGGACAACAGCTATATTTTATACAGTCAATGTGTACTTCAAGTTTTCTTTTTCACATCTTTGGCCTGGGCTGAGGTGGCCATTCTCACAGTGATGTCTTATGACCGCTATGCAGCCATTTGTCTCCCACTGCACTACGAGGTCACCATGGATCCCAGAAACTGTAAGTGGGCTGTGGTAGCTGTCTGGCTAAGTGGAGGCATCTCTGGAATCTTGTACACATCAGCCACATTTTCTATCACATTTTGTAGGGCCAAAGTAATCCACCAGTTCTTCTGTGATGTCCCTCAGTTGCTGAAGCTCTCCTGCTCCAATGATTACCTTGGAGTGATTGGAGTGGCTGCTTTTATGTCTGTGATGGCACTCATCTGCTTCGCCTCCATTGTCTTCTCCTATATCCACATCTTCTCCACAGTTCTAAGAATACCCTCTGCTGAGGGCCGGTCTAAGGCCTTCTCTACCTGCCTGCCCCACCTTTTTGTTCTCTCATTTTTTCTCTCGACGGGCATCTTTGAGTTTCTAAAACCAACTTCAGATTCTCCAACTGCTTTTGACCTTATGATATCTATCTTTTATACAGTAATGCCCCCAACATTCAACCCTATTATCTACAGTCTGAGAAATGAGGCCATGAAGGGAGCTTTAAGAAAGTTACTGTTGGGTGGAGAATTAACTGGAAAAAAGCCATTTCTGTCCTGTTGTTGATGGCTGGCCAATATGATACAAAAGGAACATTCTTAATAATTGCAATTCCTTCAGTATGTAATATTGTAGAAAAGCAATAAAATTTTTTTCTTGTATATAAACCATGCAATATAACCATTGTCATTATAGAAATTCTTCATCTGACTTATTTATCTTTTAGTCATTGAAACCATTCTTTTGTTCTTTCAAATTAAGAGAAAATTAACAATTATAACTTTTTAATATAGGCCCACTACGTCCCTTTCCCTCACAGTACATAAACACACACAGACATACGCATCCATAGACACAATGATAAACATAGAATACATTTTTAAAACTGTGTAGACAATATAACAGCAATAACAGGAATAAAAAAGTGATTTTTCCCACAAATCCACCCACAAAATGAATCAATTATTTTCACTTTAATCATTTAATTTCAAGTGTTCATTTTAACTTTTGTCTTCACACATATCAATTTTGCATACTGGAAAAAAATTATATGCCATTATTATGTATGTACACATACACAGTTTTACTAGTATAATTTTCCTGAATGCACAGTATTTAATAGAATTCACATCAAAATATATTTAACCGTTCACCTGTTGGTTATTTCCGATTTTCACTCTTATAAGTGATGCTAAAAATTGAAATTTTGCCTTTCATAGTTTCAAGAAAGAGGTTGCTGAATCAAAGTGTACATAATGTTCAGGCCATATTACAAGAACACATGGCCATATTACTTTCTAAAAATCCTAAGTCATTTTATGTGGCCATTAGCAATGTATGGTCATGTCTCTTCTCCTTCACCTCCCACAAAATTTTATTAATTCCTGCAACAAGTATTCACAGAGAAACTATTAGGTGGTTGAAATCAAACCAGGTACTTGGAACACAAAAATACCTAAGATATATATAGCATTGGATACTGTGGGAATTTTTAACATTTCAGTTCCTATGGTAGCAATATGGAGCTTTGCAAAAGTTGCTGTTGGGTGGAGAATTAACCAGGAAAAAACATTTCTGTCTTGGTGTTGATGGCTGGCCAATATTATACACAAGGAACATACAATATTTTCATATTTTTTTCAAATGTGTGATTGCTCAAGAGCTAAACATGTTTATAGTATTTATTTAGTTCACTTCCATATGATTCGTTTTAATTTTACATATTTTTATCCTTTATAAGAAAGTTTTGTAAGTATTAGAATTCTGTGTTTTCTAATGGCAACAAAACATTTTTGAGTCCCTCTTTAATTCAGTGTTTTCAGGCCATTTTTTTCCTGTGCAAATCTTATATCTACTAACTTGAATATGAGTTTCTAAAAGTTGTAGCAACAAAATTTAATGAGTCTAGGTTATCAAGACATAGCCTTAAGTGACTAATAATCAGATTTCTTATCTCCTCTATTAAACTATTTAATCTCTTGGTAATAATGTGTATATTATACTTTTTGTTAATTTATTTTTAATTGACACATAATAGTTGTATATATTTATGGGTCACAAGATATTTTGATCTATGTCTACATTGCATCAAAATTCAATCAAGCTAATGAACATATTTATCACCTCACAAACATAACATTTTTTATGGTGAGAATGTTAAAAATCTATTCTTTAGTAATTTTGAAATATACAATACATTATTCTTAACTGTGGTCACCATGCAGTGCAATAGATTACTAAAATGTATTCCTTTTTTCTTTGTACACCAATTAAACATTTTAACACAATTTTTAATCAACCTGTTATTTTAATGAGCCTACTGAATTCCAAAAAGCATATCAATTTAAATTATTATTTCTGTTTCAATTTTTTTTGTTAATCTGTAATTAGATATTTTTGCTAGTTAAATGATATTGTATTATTGTTTACAGTAATTATTTAGGTAGAAGAGCCATTCTTTGGTTTATAAAGTATTTTTATTGTCTTCTATTATTCTCACACATACATTTTTAAACATTTTCATTCATTTCAGTAAATATTGTGTTTGTCCTTAAGATCAATTAATCATTCAAAATTTATAAATTAACTTGGTAAATTTGTTCTGTAAAATTAGTTTGCTTTTACCAATAAAAACTAGTTTTGTTGTTTGCTCTAAATAAAATTCTGTTAATCCTCTTTATGAAGGCAACACATTTCTCAATAGACTTACTCTATGATTTTACATTTGGGTGGTTACTATAAACTTCACTCACTTTCTATTCATGTGAAATATGCACTGCAGCTACCAAGCATCTTTGAACATCACAATTTGCGGGAATTCCCTCATTGCTACTTCTACCTGCCAAGTCAGAAAGCAAAAACTCACTTTCCCAGTCTCCCATACACTTGGAATGCAGGTGTAGGTCCTGGGCTGTAAGACTAGATGTTCCAGCCTGAGACTTCAACGTAAAGAACAGCAGTGTGAGAAAGCAGGCACTATGTGGTATCCATTTCTACCAAAGTTGATGGTTGAGGCATTCAGCTTTGGGGAGCAGCAGTAGTGGAGTCTGGAATCTAGTCTCCAGCTACAGCGGTAGAAAATGTAGAGTCTATGCCCAGCAGGGTAAGCAGTGTTGTCTCTGCTAGGACAGCTTCAGGGTACTAGGCTCAGGTCTTCCAAGCTTGATTATCTGACCTTCCAAGAGACTCTGTGATATACCCAGTACTCTTTAATAATTTTATTTTCTGCTTAATACAGTTAGGATTGGTTCTGTGCATTACAACTAAGAAACTAGAGAAATACAACTGGTAAAATGGAATACATTGATTTTTGTACTTCAAACTTAAACCCAGCCACTTTCTTAATTTCTAAATTATTCTAAGAGCAATAATTCATTATTTGTAGTTTTCCACATAAAAAAATCTAGGAGTAAATAAGCAGGTGGGTTAGCAATTTTTAAATTCATAAACAGGATATCTCATCTCTTAATAGATAAGATATTATATATAATTCAGAAAATTATTCAATGAGTCATTTAAAACCACATACTTGTCATATGTCTTATACCAGACTCTCTTCTACGTGATACAGAATAAGATAGATGAGGACTAAGACTAGTTCAACTCTGCTGCATAAAACAAGTACGTAAACATTGAATCTATTTTCATCTAGCAGAATAGATCTAGGAATATTTTGATGCAAACAAATGTGTGAGTATGTGAGGTAATATTTTTAAAGTTTTAATGCATTTTGCTCTTTTTTATTCTGAGAATAAATTATTTTGCCCTATGGAGTACCACGGTAGTTAAAGCAAAGACTTAATCTAGATTCCCAGGGTCCAAATGCTGGCTCCCGTGCATACTAGTTACATGACCATTGATGGTTACTTAACCTTTTTTAATCTGTAAGATAGGGCTAATAATAGTTACTTCCTGTTGTGGGGCTTGATAAATGTTAACACATGTAACACTTAGAATAGTACTTGTATTGTAGCAAGTGCTAAATAAATGGAAATCATCCCAATTGTTAATGTTTTATATATATATATATATATACACACACACACACACACACACACACATATAAATATACATACATATAAATATATATACATACATATATATATCAAATCATGAAGCAGTATGACAGTTTTACAAATCCAGGACCGGCCCGGTGGCACACTGGATAAGTGCGCCGCTTGGGAAGCGCGGCGGCGCTCCCGCCCGAGGGTTCAGATCCCACATACAGACCGGTTCCCGCTCACTGGCTGAGCGAGGCGTGGGAGCAACACCGAGGGTTGCAATCCCGTTGCCGGTCCCCGGTCCGGTACGGGGGCAACACTGAGGGTTGCGATCCGTTGCCGGACACAGAAAAAGACAAAAGACAAAAAAAAAACCCAAATCCGTTTATTGGCTTAATTATCCTCTTATCACCCCTTTGGAAAGCCAACAACCAAGCTGAAAGTATTCAGCCAATGAGGTTCTCTCTCTCATGTGCACAGGATAGATCATTGCTTACCATTTGGCTTAGCTGAATTCAGGAAAGAGAAAATGCAAGAGTGTGTGGCTCTCTGAGACACTAAATATTTTTGTTCAAAGGTGACACTGGATGTTTCCTAAAGTAATTATTTAAATGATCAGTTTAGACTAAAATTAAACTTGGTTTGACATTTAATTAGTGTTTTTCCTGAAAGCTCTGGAGAGAAGCAAGATTAACTATGGACAAACAACGATATTATATATTTCTAACATGTCCAAAGTTTGAAGTTAAATTTACAATACATTCTTTACTTCTGAGGAATAATTTCCTGGATGACTAGTTTATGCCCAGTTATCTTATTCTACCAGTGCTCTTGTATATTGTAAACACCTTCAGCTACCTTGGTAATATAAACTTACTTTGATCTCGGGTGTAAATCAAAGTCAGTCACCATAACACTGGTCCTCCTGAGCGACCAGGTTCCCTTATACTGATCACCCAACAGCTATGGATTCGGCCTGGATTTCATGTTTTCTCTCACTCCATAAACGTTGCTTCTTAAATGCAGCATAATGGAGAGGAGAAAGAAAAGAATCTCTGCTTCCCAGTTCAATTTTCCCAGCTCCTAACTCAGACTTCATCCCCCTTAAATAGATAGTAATTGCCTATTTAAACTCTTTCAGTGGGTATCTGTGACAGACTCTAGATTATAATAAATTTATTCAGTGGAGGAAATGAGTTTCAAAAATTCAGAGAGGAAAATAATAATAAGGGATTATAAATGGAGAATCTCAGAATTAGTTGCAGATATAAATGAAAGGCCACCAAGAACAGAATTAATTTTACAAGCTGGCAACTGTAGGGCTGAGGGATGCGTTCATGGCTAAGGAGAGGTTGGGAACAAGTTGGAGTTCTAAATGGATGTCTTAAATTCACTTTTCTAAGTGTAATATTTCAGCTAACCCAGGATAATCTTTCTTATATTACAGTTTTAAAAAGCAATAAACAAATAGTTTTTCTTTTTCTTTCTTTTTAAATGTCTTAGGTAAGCAGACACATTTTGCAACCCTTGTTTTATTTTACTTTATTTTATTTTATTTTATTTTTG